GATATACTCTGTCCAGGTACTGGAACAGCTTTACTACTGGTTTAGAAGCGGTTTTTGTGTTATGGATGATATACTCTGTCCAGGTACTGGAACAGCTTTACTACTGGTTTAGAAGCGGTTTTTGTGTTATGGATGATATACTCTGTCCAGGTACTGGAACAGCTTTACTACTGGTTTAGAAGCGGTTTTACATTTTCTTAAAGACAATTTCAGACATTTGTATTCAATTCTCAAGTGTGATTGGCCGTGTGAAACATCGAAAAGCCTGTATTTCTCAGGTTTAGCTATGGGACTCTTTAAGATAACTTTGGTTTCTACTTCAAAGTGATACGTGAGACCAGACTGTGTGAAACCACTGTACGTAATATAGGCCGAACAGCCAATCAGTAACATTTTATATCACGTGACTGATGATCAAGTTCGGATAATAATGAAATAAGGATGTTATTCATCAGTGTTTTTGTTCTTGTTGTTCTTATAACTGTAATATTAGAAATTCCTATCTTTCTTTTATGTAGTATATATACCAAAGTTAATTATGAATGATCGTAACTTGTGTAATTTTGATACTGGGATAAAACTGTAACTGCAGCTCAATCTAACAATTTGACTGCTAAAAATATCCAAGAATCGTTAGATATAGTAAAATTTAAACAAGAAAAACTTGTATTAAACAGAGATGAAGGCCCAGCTGGTCATTATAATGGTATATGACGTGACCTACTGTAAAGGATGGACAGTTAGTTATGAAAATAACGTAGGACAAAATATCGCATGACTTGTAAACTTTGAAACCTGAATTCAGTTATTCCTGAATACGAAATAGACACGTCGAAATATGGGGTGTTTTTTTCTTTTTTCTTTTTTTTTTTGCTTTTCTTTAAGTGGAAGCCGTTAACGGCTTCACTATATTTTAACTATTTACAGTTAAACTTTATATTTTAATTATTTTTTGCTGTACTAAAGTTCTTTAGGTTAAGTCAGTATTTCACATATTAACCCGCAGTTTATGCACATTTCTACGTACCTGTATTTTCCAGTGACATTTCTAAGCATGATTAGGTTTAACTATTTGTTTTAGTCTGGGAACTTTTGTATAAACGATGTTTTTCTTCTTCAGGTTTTCTGGAGCCAAACTGAAAAACGAGGTAAGTCTTTTTATTTTATTTTATGAAAAGTTTCAAGACAAATGTTAAATGCTGCCTCCAAGAACAGCTAGAATTGAAAACATATTTAATCTTCACATATTACTGTTCACAGAAACTGCGATTGTTTTTCGTAAGCGTAATGTTTTTCTTTTCATTGTCTTCACAGGGTGGCTTTACTAGAAAATATTCCCTAGCGTCAAGAACTGGAACTTTACTTCCAGAATTTCCAGACTCTGCCAAACTCAATGTTCCCGAAAATCTGCAAGCAGATAAGGTACCTATATAAGCACATATATACACCCACATATACAGATATATAAAGAAAGAGAGAAAATGGGTGTAAGCAGGTGTTTTGAACAATTTGGTAGTCAATAAAAAATTCAATCTTTTTTTTTATTTCTTCGGGAAGCAAATTATTGCGTAAGTGTATTGTATAACCATACATTTGTGTCTAAAAACTAATTGCTTCGTGCGTTTTGTAAAAAAGTCCAAAACATTCCCAGAACCCTTTTAACTTTGCTCTCCAAGGGTGCTGTAGAACTACAAGTTTGTGTCATTCTCACTTTATGCATGCCTCTGTCATTTTGCTATAATACAATTAAAAATCATTAATAACTTTAGTGTCAATAAATAGTAAACGGTTTAATCTTAAATTAACTGCTATTATTTTCTCTGTAGTTTCAGTCGTCAGTCTTGACGCTCTTATTTTCAGTGAAGCTCGTGCAAAGTTTAAATGGTTCTTCTTTGAACGAAGAAGCTTTTAGCTCGAATTAAATCGCCTCATTCATTTTATTTTAAGCTGTCAAATACATTGTTCTGCTATAAATTCCTTGTCCAAGATAAAGGTAGTTATGAATATAACGAAATTAATGCACAGCACGTTATGTATAAATATAGCAAAAAAGATACAATACAGACATTGTTAAAAAATACAAGTGAAAATTGTACATTTTCTTTTCTTTCACGCGACTTCCAAGGCTAGGAAACCAATTTACAAATTGATTATTTATATAAAT